AGGTAGGTAGATAGATAGATAGACAGGTAGACAGGTAGATAGATAGGTAGGTAGATAGATAGATAGATAGATAGATAGATAGATAGATAGATAGATAGATAGGTAGGTAGATAGATAGATAGATAGATAGACAGGTAGATAGATAGATAGATAGATAGATAGATCTAAAATGCTACTTTTTGTTGACCAAGCGTAAAGAACACTTCTTTTCCCAAAATGCATTACCTGTGTTGATTTGCAAACTCTTCCGTTCATTCAACTCACTAAAAAGGAGCCAGTTCTTAATTTCTCAATTTTGTCTAGTCCTGTTATCTGTAAGTTAACAGCGAATATTCACAACGGATACAACATTGGTGTTCCTGCCTAAAAGAAAAAAACACAATTACACTTGACATGCTAAGCAAAACAACCTAAAAGAATCCAAATATGCTCACTGTGGACATATTAAGAAAAACAGTTGTACAATGGCCTGAAATACATGAAATAAAAAATATATCTTGCCCTTTGAGGGAGTTTCATATTAAAATATAACGTTAACATTCCGCTTTTCCATACAGCACAGGAACGTCGACAGGCAAATAACGCTATTAAACCATATAAATAACGGTGAAATATTTAAAAGCTTTAAATAAATAGTAGAGAAACATAAAGATTTTAGTAACGTTTAAAACTGCGTTTATTTTCGCCGATAAATTCAGTATCTATGGCAACGACGCGGGTTACCTGCCACCTTGATCCGGTTCCTCTTCTCCGGTTCTTCCGGTCGATGGTCTCTAGCGCGCCCTAGTGAACGGGAGTGACGTCAACGCAGGACATGCTTACAGAATAGAACGCAATACAATATATTTATAGACGTTTCCTCTTCATTGCTAGGCAAATACAACACAACATACATTTAATAATATATTATACAGAATAACAAGAAAGCAAAGCCATACCAGTGTAAGAAATTTTAAAAGGTTTTGAAATAGGCTACTGCTTGATGATTCAAACATTTTGGATTTTGAATAAATTTGCACAGTAACAGTAAAAGTTTCTCTTTCTCTTTTGTACTCTTTAGCTTTATTAATGTTACACTGCAAAATGAAAAGAAAAAAATACAATGAATGTCATGTAGATGCACATTCCAATTTTCCACAGTTTTGTTTATTTGTATTTTTAAAATTATTTCAAAAGACACTCACTCGAGATTGGGGAATATTTTTAATCATTATAAATTATTTAATACCTTATGTGTACATACACTCTTAAAAATAAAGGTGCTTCATGGTGTCATAGAAGAACCTTTTTTGTCTAAATGGTTCCATAAAGAACCGTTAACATCTGAAGAACTGTTTCCGTTTCACAAGAAGGTTCTTCAGATTATAAAAAGGTAAGAAAGAGATGGTTCTTTAAAAAAAACTTTGACTGAATGGTTCTCTGTGGAACCAAAAATGGTTCTTCTATGGCATCGCTGTGAAGAATCTTTTAAGCACCTTTATTTTTAGGAGTGTATGATGCAATCAGGTGTGTAAATTAAATTATAAATAAATTATTATGAATTTTAATTGAGGTTGCAAACAGGATGCAGTATTGCAAATCAAATTTCTATGGGAGAAAGTATTAACTGAAATTAAAATAAATTATTATTTTAAATTTATAACTGGAAAACGTCTCGGTTACGTATGTAACCCTCGTTCCCTGAAGGAGGGAACGGAGACGTCACGTCGGATGACCGACGAATTGGAATTGGGATCTCGCTTAGAGGGACCAATCTACTTCGAGTGTAAACTAAACGAGCCAATGCACATTGAACAAAACTGCATTTGATTTGCAGGGGGGTCGGATGGACACAGGGTGATTGTTTGTAAAGAGGTCGCGGATAAAGAGACGAGAGAAACAGATCACTCAGCTCATGCAGTGATAAATGATGGCGTTACACCTCATTCATTCACAATCCCTCAACCAATAACACGACCGATGTGATGCCGCAATATTTTTAAGACTGAATCACGAAATCTGCACAAAAAGATACAAATGTGCCGTATTATTATTATACTGTACAAAATCATAATATTACCATGTAGTTTTTGTGAGCTAAGTTTTGTGCACTTCATAAAAAGTAACAAAAATAAGTCAAATAAAATAATAGCTAGTATCAGATGGTATCATGCTAGTTCGATTTCAAAATTCAAACACCATGGTATTCTTATGTGTACAATGTAAACGATAAATGAACTAAAAAATGGTGGTAAAACAATTTTCACTCAGAATTTCTAGTAAATTTCACAAATAATTGCAAAGAAATACTGAATCAAACATGAAATTTTGAAGTATAGAGGCTGGAATATTTTATATATAGCTTATTATAGTGTAAAATGTAATCTTTGTTTTATTTACAACTTCAAAAAATAATTTTTCAAAGTGTACCATGGTATTTATAAAAGTAAAAGTACCTAAAATCACTCAAAAAATTCACAGCTATAATTTGTCCCATACTGTAAACGTTGCAAAAAAAAAAGAAAAAACTGCCAGTTATATGTCATGCTGTTATGTTTATGGCAACACTGGGTAAGTTACTCTAAAGAAGTAATTAATTATTACATCTTAAACAGTGTAATTAGATTACTGTGCTAATTACTTTTTCTAAAAGGTATTACTAATTAGGCTAGTTTCTAAATCCCATATCAGCCTCCACAAGGACAGAACTGCTCTTTTAATTCTTTCAAATACATAGACGAATATAAAATTGCATAAATTATTGATCAAAGTGTTTACATTTAAGGTAACATTAAAAACACACATTTTAACATTAGATGTTGGATTTGGGTGTAAAATCCACTATTGCTTTATATTTAATTGTTCTAACATCTATAGCCTATTTAATGCAATTACTTCAGAAGTAGCCTAACTGTAATTAAATTACAGGAAAATTATAAAACGTAAGAGTAATCCCTTACGTTTTCAAAGAAAAAGACACTTGGTTTCAAGTAATGAATCACTTTAGTAGCCTAATACATTTCACCCAACACTGGGTTCTGTGTCTGTTTATTTAAGTTTCTTTGTTTGTCTCATTTCTGTGTTTTTTGAGTCATGTAGGCTATTGCATCAATGTCGGAGTTGTAATTTAACGGGAAAGCATACATTTGAGAAGACATGTTTCATGCTGGCCTTTCATATGTAATAAATTACCACGGCTAAACCGGATTGAAAAGCCTTGTTAAATCTAGAGTTATTTTTATTTTATTTGATTAGCAAACAAGTCAGAATGAAAACAATGTAACATCTCAATTCAACATCATCCAGCCCTAACAGAAAAAGTCACAGGGATCCTGAAACATTAATTTCCGTGAAGAAAAAAAAACAAAGAAAAAAACACCTACATCATTCTAAGTCCAAGTCATTGTTCTGTGTAATATATTTGGAGATCTTCTCAGCAGCTATAGTCCAGGTCTGTAATGTAGAAAGTTGTGCCATATTCACCCGAGCCGTGGATATTTCTAACATAATAATGTCTTAAAGTTGCATTAGCCACTTGGACATATCCAAAGTATGTGGAGGGAGCCAGTGTTGTGCTAACAATTTTTTGGCAGATGTCAACCCGGCAAGCCAAATCATTTTTTGCAACTTAGAAAAACTCAGTTACAGTACATACTGCATTCCAAAAAAAAAATTTCCACACCATGTTTTTTGGGGGTAGCCTACATTATTTGTCTTTCCTCTCGCGCTCATTACTCGTGAAGCGCACTCACGCGCACGCCGCACGGCGAGAGTGGAGAAGGACGTTGAGCGCGTTTGACTGAAAGAGACTCGAGCGCTAAACCTGCTCACAGGATCATTTTTACCGAATAAAAAATATTCTTTGACTTCAAATGACTATTTCTCATGAAACACGTCTGTAATTATGTATCACGGTTATAAATAAACGAAATCATCGGGGAAAACTGGAATATGCCTCCACCTGACATCCAAAGGTAACATTTCCTCAGAAAACGAATTTGTGTTTTACGCGAGAAACTGACACAAGTGAGCGGTTTTAAGTTATATTAAATAATAATCCAGAGGAGATACTGATACTGAGTTTGTTCCGGGGAACTCAGTGGCTTGTTAGTAGGCTATATAAAGATAATTGTGCGTCAAGTTGGGATGATGAGAGTTTGTCCGCTCCGTCTGTTCATGTTCATGGAGTTTATAAGCGGGAGCCGCTAGAATGGAAACCGTGATTGATGAAACGGAGGCCTTACAGAGATTCTTCGAAGGTAAGACAGTTTATTGATCACCTGTTGATGTGACAGTTCAACAATAGTTTAAAAAGATTACGTTGCAGTGATGTATATCAGATGGTAATACCATGGTACTAGTGATAGTTTCCATACCTAATCTAAAAAGGCTGATTTTATATGTGACCCACCCCTGGACCACAAAACCTGTCATAACGGTCAATTTTTTGAAATTGAGATTTTGAGACCATCTGAATGCTGAATAAATAAGCTTTCCATTGATGTATGGTTTGTTAGGATAAGACAATATTTGGCTGAGATACAACTAGTATTTGAACATCTGGAATCTGTAAAATTTGCATCTGGGTGCAAAAAAAAAAAAAATCAAAGAAAATCGCCTTTAAAGTTGTCCAAATGAAGTTCTTAGCAATACGTTTTAGGCCTACTGATCAAAAATTAAGTTTTGATATATTTACAGTAGGAAATTTAAATCAAAGAAAATCGCCTTTAAAGTTGTCCAAATGAAGTTCTTAACAATACGTTTTACTGATCAAAAATTAAGTTTTGATATATTTACGGTAGGAAAGTTCCAAAATATCTTCATGGAACATGATCTTTACTTAATATCCTAATGATTTTTGGCATAAAAGAAAAATTCGATCATTTTGACCCATACAATGTATTTTTGGCTATTGCTACAAATAGCTGTACCCCTGCTGCTTATGACTGGTTTTGTGCTCCAGGGTCACATATGTCTGAGTCAACCTGACTACATTAGGTTACACCTATAAAAGTAAGCGATTGTCACATCAAGCAGAAATATTTAAAAAACAAAACATGGTTTATGTCCAAAAACATGGTATTACCATGCGTTGAAGAACTTGGTATTGTTTTGGTATACGTCCAAAAACATGCTGGTACTTTTTGTTGCTTTTTGCTTGTGATGAAATTAAAAATTGATTATATTCTGTGTATGTTTACTTATATATTACATAAAAATATCATAGCATTTTTTTTCCTATTTACCTGAAACAATACAGAAAAAAAACCTCCAGTTAGTGATAATGGTTGTTCTTGAATGTTCTACACTTATTTCTCAATTTTCTACAGCTAAAGCTCAGTATCAATACGTATTCAATAAGGTACTTGCTAACGTCAGTTGTTTGCCAATATGTGTTGGTAGGTATTTTACCACCACGTGTCCACTGGTAAAGTTTTTTTAAGGACTTGTGTTTCAAACATTATTTGTGTGTGAGCAGGATTAAATGTGTCATGCTGGATTTGTTGAGGTCAGTGAAGGAATGTTGGGGAAGGGCAGAAAGGTGGAGAGGATTGCAGAGAAAGAGATGATGTACGGATGCAGGGAGCGAAGGATGGAATCCAGAGGAGAGAGAAGGAGGGGTTTGAGGAGAAACACTGGGAAGGACAGAGGAATGTGATAAATTGTGTGTTTGTAATGGTTAAGACAGACATTGAAAATAGGAGAATTAAAGAGAGAGATGGATTAATGAAAAGGCTAGATTGCTGGGAGTGTTGGGCAAGAAAAAAAATATATATATTGAACACAATAGGATGAATCAGATGTGATATCCTCTGATTTGTCTATGTTGGTGAAAATCAAAGAAAGAAAGAACGAAAGTGACAATCTATTTAATGACAATCTAATACACGTTATCAACAATTTTCATTATGATAATGCAAAGGAAAAATCTATTTTTTACTATAATGTAAAAATTCACAATATTTTTGTTAAATTTTAAAATACATCATGGTAGTGTTTGCCTTTTAAAAGATACAGTATTTTTAAATTGCAGTTTGTTTGTGTATTTTTTAAAATTACAGTAAAATGTGAATAATGAGAATTACCAAAAATAGCGATGCATTGCGGTAATGACAATTTGATCTTTTTTAAGTTACAGTAATGAGAATCACTATTGGGAATAATGAGAATTACAAAAAATATCTGGTTACATTGCAGTAATGACAATTTGACAATTTTTTAAAGAAATTACATTAATTAGAATCACTATTGAGAAGAATGAGAACAAAAATATACATTGCAGTAATGACATACAGCAATAAGAATCACTATTGAGATAATGTGAATTAAAAAAAAACTAGTTACATTGCAGTAATGACATTTTTTTTAAGAAATTACAGTAATTAGAATCACTATTGAAAATAATGAGAACAAAAATATACATTGTGGTAATGATATTTTTAAAAAGATTACAGTAATGATTATCACTATTGAGAATAAGGAGAGTTACAGAAAATATCTAATTTGGAGAGAAAATTTCCTTAATTGTCTTGAAAACAATATAAAAACCATAATGGTCCTAAAACAATGACTTAATTTGTATTTTCACATTTAATTACTTCTTCCTTTTGATTTTGGGGGTTTAATGTGACCTGGACATGCGTGATTCATGCACCCTTTTAAGCATTACTTGTAGTTACATCACTGGAAAGTAGGGATGTAACGATTAACCGTGAGCCGGTTGAAAATCGATTTAAATATGTGACTTATTTGATTTGGGGCTTGTTTTAAATTTTCAATTTAGTTTTGTTATTTACATTTACATTATATTTAAATTTTGTTATTTAGCAAACGGTTGTATCCAAAGCAACTAACAAATGAGGTCAATAGAAGCAATCAAAACCAACAAAAGAGCAATAATTTAAACACATAAAGTGCTATATTAGTATATTATTATAGTGTTATATTTCAATTTCACAAAGAAACGTACAGTATTTTGTCCAAGCAATAATAAAAGGACACATTTAATTTATAATTTGTCTTAAATCTCATTTTGTAAAAAAAAATTTTTTGAATCAAATCGAATCGTGAAATCAAAATCGTGAATCGAATCGAATCGTGAGTTGAGTGAATCGTTACATCCCTACTGGAAAGTGTTGATTTATTGCCTTCTGCTTCTTTTTCTTCACTCTTTCTCGTCGTCATCTTTCTTTTCTTCAGAAAGATTTGGCTCACCCCTCTGTTTTAACTTTACTGTCCTCTCAGAGTGGTCAAATTCATTTCTCTGTCATTCTTGGCAGATAAAAGCCGTAGTTGTTAATGTCAGGTTCTAAGATGAACTGTTTATTTTGGAGGGATTTTCCAACCATAATTTGTGGCACTTCATTAGGCGTGAGTGTGTTTTCTCAGAGCAGGTGTAACGGTTTGTATATATATGACAGCGTTTCACTGTAAACACTGTTGACTTCATTGGGCTCTGGAGTTCACGGCCGTCAAGCAATGCTCTTTAACGAGAATTTCACATGTTTACATTCTTCATTTGGGGAGTGAGGCAGACAGCGCACCTCTGGTCCTGGCCGAAACCCTGCTGCCTCTGAACTAGAGATGATCTGACGTGCTAGAAATGTCCTCATACGACAGTATCAGTTAGTATGTGATGTGAATTATGGAATAATTGTGGTGTGGATGCACTTATTTTATGTAAATATAGGGTAAACGTACCTATTAAGCTCATGTACCCATTAAGACACTTCCATATTTGAGCTCAGAATATAAAAAGACAAAATGATGTATTATCATACTTGATGTCTTAACCAATTGATGTGTTTGTTACTACATACCTCCTGTAATTTCAAATCAATCAGATCAGTGCACACTGAGATATAGGCTAATATAAAAAATTCAGGTGTCTGTGTATGGCTTGTTTGTGCTTTTGAGAACACTTAGTAAATCCTGATTGTGATTCATTCAGATTCTGTTGTCATTTTCTACTTTTTGACTCTGTGTGTATGTATTTGTGCGATTTAATTGATGGCTGGTTGCGGTTTTTAATTGTGCTCCACATCCACGATTCCCAATGAATGCTCAGTGTTTGTGCTCTGTTTGTTTGTGTTTGTGTGTGTGTTGTGCGGGGAGGGTATCTTAAATGAACATCCATTGTGGAGTACAGCAACACAAAGCACAAAAGAAGAGGCAGATTGAGCTGTTTGTCTGTAGGACTCATTTGACCCTCAGCTGTCCTAGAGGAAAATTTTATTGCTCAGAGGTCGCTCTATCAAAGCTTGTTTCATTCAAATATCAACTTTGTCTTGGATGTTTCCTCTGTCCTAGGAAGAAATAGAAATAGACATTGTAAGGATTTGATGAGAGATGTTTGAGTTTATTGAGATTTCTGACTTTTGACTGAGACTTTGGTGTTTTGGCAAATCTGAAAACAGTTTGATACCATGTTTAGATCTCTATGTAACTCCAGAGGAGACACATGCGAGATTACTGGGGACTTTTTCTCAGAAGAAACATCAGAGAAGCAGAAGACTTCAGCAAAATTCTCAATTTGCTCTACATTTAAACTTATGAATGTCTAGTAGAAACAATTTAAAATGTTTCAAAGGGGTTTTTCCCCCAATTCAGAACAATTTTATTTTCATTCTTCAGAGCTGTCTGATTTTACGTACATCATTTAAATGTTGTAGATGAATAATAACTGAAATGACTTCAGCAAAAGTCTCCATTTGCTCTCCATTTAATCTCACTGATGTCATGAAGTAACAATTACAATTTAGGCTTTTTTTTTTTTTTTTAATTCAAAAATAATTCAGTTTTCATTTTTCTGAGCTGTCTGGTTTTACGTAAATCCTTAAAATAGTGTAGAAGGATGAAATATCACTGAAATATTTACTTAATGATTCTTCTACAATATCAAATGAATAATATAATATTAATATTGGTACTGGTAGTTTATCATCGATAACTACAACAAATTAAAACTAAAACCATTTAAAAAATTGTTACTTTAAATAAAACAAACATTAACTGAACTAAAAGAATATTAAGGGGAAAAACACTTATTTCAGTTATTTGCGAAGGCAAAATTTCTAATTTTCTTTTAGCTTTAACTTGAAGTACTAAAATAACTCAAACTAAAACTGAAATAAAAATGAATAAGAACAAATGGCAAAAACACACAACAAACTTACTAAAACTAAATCTAAAATTGAAAGAAAATTATAAAAATAAAAACTGCTTTAGAATATTAATAAAAAGCTACAGTATAATCAAT